TTATCTATTGCTCAACATTATAATACTTTTCAAAATGCTTGCATTAATAGTGGAGCTTATCGACTTTAATTGCAAAGATTGATCAAAGGAGATTATATATATTTGCAATGTGAAGTATCCATAACACTTGATATTAAGGCAAGGCATATAATTCTATATGTAAAAAATGTATTGTCTAGTGGTATTTTGTTATTAGAAGATAATAATAGATAAGATTACTAAGAGTATTCAAAGAATTGTACACCTTATCATCTTTCCATTGATTACTCTATACATCCTAAATTGGCAGTTGTGCTAATTGATTTTTTTTTTTTTTTTTTTTTTTTTTGTATATTGTGAGAAGAAAGAGACTGCTGCCATGCTTTTTTATAATCAATGTCAACATAGGTGGCATATGGCATATTTGACACCACCTCTTTTGATTCTTCTATTAGTAGATTGGATTTGTCCTTATTATAAGAAGTCTTCTAATCATATCTCATTTCTTGATAAAGATGAAAGATTTCTTCTATTGTATATATCACACACTTTAGTAGTCTAATTGCTACAATATTAGTTTGAAGGAGTACAATTTGGCATTCACATCATTATAGCGTTCAACTTTAATAATGTATGTTTTGTAATTCTAGTTGATTGGAAGGACTTCTAATCAATTAAGAGGGATACTTGATAGTGTGTTAGGTGTGCATTTGTATTTGGTTTAAATTACATATTTTATGATTGATTTGTAGCATTTGATGCATTGTGTATAACAATCTTTGCTACATGATAATTGTCTTAAGATATGGCATTGGGTACTAAATCTTGTCAAATGTACATAGTTTAATTTGATTAATGGTTTTCATCCATTGATATTTTTTCCATTAATTGACTTTATTTATATCAATTAAGATTTGAATATTTAGATGGAAAAAAATCCTTGACTTGATATTCTTGTCAAGTCATGTCTTGTGAGTGATTTTGAAAGTGAAAGAACTTGTTGTAAGGATTTTCCTAGCTATGGTATTTTAGCTATTTTAATAAAGATTTAGGATTTTTCTTATTTCTATAGTTGCACTTTTGGATTCTCTCTTTGTCGTATGAGAGATAGCTTAATTTAGTTTGGTGTAGATTTCTAATCTTTCCTTTGATAGTATATTGAGTGTGCATTTGTATTTGGTTTAAATTATATACCTTATAATTGATTTATAGCACTCAATGTGTTATTTGTAATTTCATCTTTGTTGTCTTTTTACATCTTCCTTGTATTTGTGATTGCCAAGGAAAAAAAGATATAAACATTGACATCTTTAGCAACTTCTAACTTTGATTTTATTTAAGTATTTTAAATTTGATCTAATTTTTGGTACTAGTTTTTATACTTGAAAAAGAAAGTTTCGTGTACATCATTAATATTTCTCTGACAATGCATTAAGAAAAAATCATTTATATTAAAATAATAATCATCTTGTGAAAAATTTTTATTATTATTATTATTATTAAAAAAAAATATTAAGACATAAAAAAAAAAAAAATTAAAAGAAAAAAAAATAAAGAGCTATTCTTCAAGTAAAACAAAGATATAAACAATTGAATAAGCATGTAATTAATATCTATTTTTTTGAGAAATGAATAGATATAATAACCTTCAGCAAAATAGATAATAAAAATAAAACCATAAACAAAACAATATGGATATCTAAACTTATAATAAATAGACTAAAATTAGATTAATAATAAAAGAAGAAAAATAATTCATTTTCATTACATACAAAAAAATTATCTAAATAATCCAATAAATAACCAATGAAAAGGCTCTCTTCTTACTCCCATCAATTTTTGTATATAACTTCTTTCTTGGCCCTTTTTTTTAAATACATATATTCAAAAATAAGTTCTATTTTTTAATATTTTTTCTAACTAAGTAAATTATGATTTAATTTAAGAGAGTGTTAAATAGATCCAAATTTTTATTAAATTGATCTACCTATGATGAAGAATATGGCAATTATGATGAATATAGTTGGCTTTTATTGATTTCAAATCTAATAGTGAAATAATAAATCTAAAGGGATTTTTTTTTTTTTTCTTTTCATGATGGTTATGAAAGGTGCATATATTTCATAAAAACATAGGTCTATTTAGAATTCTCCTTAATTTAAAGTAAGAAATTACTAACAGTAATCATAATAACCTAAAATCAATTCGAAACAAATATGTATTTGGATATTTGGATATATATGTAATAAGGGGATTTAGACTTAATGTTTTTGAATAACCAAATATTAAGTGTTTTTGGTTTTTGAGAAACCAAATATTATGGATTATTCAAAATATTACCTCCTCAAATATCACTGTTCAAACTTTATTATCTCTTTTAAGTTTTTGAAGTATCACTTGATATTTTGGTGATTTGGAAAAATAAATGCAATAAAAGCAAAGATAAGAAAATTAAGGCAAAAAAAAAAGTTTGTGATATTTTACCAATGTCAGGGTAGAAAGAATTTTCCTCAAAAAAGTACTAGGCTTTTGACTCTCATTAAATGCTCAATTAAGTCTAAGATATTAAAGTTCGAAGTTTATATTTATAGTATTTTTTTTCTTTTAGGAAAATTATATCAATACATAAATCTACGTAAAAAAAAAAACAAAAAAAGGACACCCAAATATATGATAAAATATCTTAAAACCTTATATATTCTTATGGAAATTTTTTTCCAAATTTCAACAATTCATATCTCACGATCGGACCATCCAAACAAACTAAAAATTTTCACAAAGTATTGATATACTTTCAACAACTACCACAAAAAATTTCAACTACAAATTCATTAAGAATCTTGAGATATCGCCAAAATCCTAACAGTAGTTTCAAATCCTTGCTTACATACACTTGTGTGCAATTTTCTTCATATCTCAGAAACTAAATACTCAAATACCATGAAATTTTGATCTATAACTTCTTGACCTAATCACACATATTTATAGAAATATTTAGCCAAAAATTCGTCTAGAAACTCAAGATATGGCTATAACCATTACAATCAACAAAATGACTCACTTACTATCTTTGAATTATATGTGCTGTCTTCAACGCTCTATAATTCCTTCATCTACATTTAAAATTCATCAAACAATATATGAAAAGTGTAGCCGAAGAAGTGCTCTTTCCAATCCTAGTTTTCAATCCTTTGTTGTTCTCCGTACGCATATGTTATGCCCCAAAGAGTGATAGTAGATATGAAATTGATATGTTAACTTTGAGCGCCTATAACTCCTTCATAAGAATTCCAAATCACACAAAATTTGCACCCAAATTGTATCCCAAAACCTAAAATTGCCGATCTTAGCCTCCAAAGCTCAAATGACCTCGGAAGAGAAACTTTAATCCCTAATAAGGCCTTAGGTAGTCTCCTTGAAGTGCATTGGGCATGGTATTCGACCAATAGGAATGAAGATCTTCACCCCTTGCTTTCATCCAACCATACATTGTTTTCATCCTTCCCAATAAGCCTCCTAATAGTTTGGACTTTCATCTATAAACTCCAACCTTCTCTTAATATTTATAACAAATATCTAAATCCTACATAATATAAACACTATAATCAAAATAGGTAAACCTCCAAATAAATTTTCTTATATCAACTCTCTTTAAATTTACTTGCTAACCACTCTAATCCACATCAAGACTTACAAACATAATATATGTTTTAATTAATTTTTACATACTATTAGCAACCACAATACACCAGCCCCTCTTGTAATATTTGGATTTTAAAATCACCCACCTTGCATGGTGGGTGATTTTGAAATATCAAGTGATATTTTGAAATATTACAGGATACTTTGGGATATCATCACTGCTGAAATATCACCCAAAAACCTTAAGTCTGAATCCGCTTATTATGAAAACCTCATGTCAGTACCATTGTCTTGTTCTAGACCATGATCTTTATAAGCCCACAATGGTTTCCGCAAACCCTAATTCTGGTCGTCCGCGTCGACGGACGGAAACTCTGATTTCGGTCGTCCATGACGACAGAAGGAGTCGTTCGGTTACGAATCCTCGGCGTCATTGCAGCTCTGAAGAGGTTGTGTCCCTGGCGATGATGCTGAGAGCTATGGCGAACGGAGCACAGCAGCGTCGTTCCAAATGCGGACACAGCGCCAATGGATCCGAGTTGGGCACCATGAGGGTCGGTGCTTGCGTGCCGGAGCTGCTCGCTGCACCTCAGCGTTTGCAGTTTCGGCGATGGAATCGTCCAGATTTTGTTTGAGGTGTAGTTTATAGTAAGGGGTATCTAAGCCTTACGGTGGGGTCATCGTCACTCTGGCGACTTTCGCTCGTGTGGAGAAATTGCCCCACCACGAGTGAGCCGCATGCCCACACAGCTAACCCAAGCCTCATCAATTTGGCGAGTAAATGCGATATTCTGTGGCGAAGCTACAAGCATCATAAGTGTTGGCTTGGTTGTTGTACTTAACTAAATTTGGGTCGTGGGCTTAACTAAATTTGGGTCTTAGGCGTGCTGTAGGGTTCCAGTTGGCGATGTGGTCCAGGGACAGGACGACGCCCACCTTGTTAAATGGTCGATGTGGTCCCCCTGGGTACGATCACGTTCTAGGAATTTGCCTTGCTTTGCTATTTGCTATCGTTGGATCAAGTTGCGGTGTATTGTATTGAATGAAGCTGAACAGAACCTATTTAGTATGACCTTGGGATCTGATGCCAGCATTCGGAGCAATTCCCAACAAATTTTCCTAGCATCGTGCCATTGACGCTCGCGAATTTGTAGACAAGTGTTATGCGCTCCGTGAATGCTGCATTTCAAATTCGAGAATTACATTGCCCATGCCAGGTTGTAATAATAGGAAAGCATCACTACAGGATTTCCACGCTGCTCTAGATTAGATTTAAGTTTACTTGACCAATGTTGTAGCACGGTGGTCGAATTGAATTAATTTCAAAGAGCACCTTGACAGATTTTTAGTAAATTTCACAAATTTGTGGGTTTTTTCTTGATGTTGGAGGACGTGGTTGTGAAGCCTGTAGTGGATGAACCGGTGTCGTTAGATGTCTGTTCTGAAAATTTTGATGGCCCATTGTTCGAAAAGGAAGTTTTCTTGTGGAAAAATTGCAGTTTAGGTGTGGGGTGTGAGCCAATCACTGGGTGCTCTCCATGCTTCGTTCACGAGTTTCCAACTTGCACGAATCCCGATGCAACACACAGCGGCGTTTGTGCCCCGAGACCCGACCTTGTCGGTTGCCGATCGGCAAAACATCCCATCGTAACCATATCCATATTATGCACAATCGTCGCCTCGAAGCTTCAATGTCACCACCTTATCTTCCCTACTCTTGTGCACTCGCCATCCCTGTTCCTTATCCACACCTACGAACTTGTGCAATTGTTTTCGTCTTCACACCCAAATTGTGATCTACTCTCCGCTGTCTTCTAGTCATTTATATTCTGCACCGCCTGCTCTGATTCTCCCCTCGTAGATTTTCCGACCTGCTTTAAAGCGGTGATGTTCGTGGCATCTGGAGGTATTGAGCTTATGAATGGACGTAGTTTTCGCTATCCCATGTGTGCGCGCACTTGAGGACGGTGCTTCATACCCCGGTTAGACTGGGGATATTGTAGCTCATTTGGAGAATTTGGGTCTTGTGTTACTGTTGCAGAATGAATAATGGAGTGATTGGCTCCAGCACAGAGAGCGATCCTGTTTCGAAATCTTTACTCTTTTACACTTGCATTTTCTCTTCTAAAGTCTGTCTCTATTGACATCCCTGGAATTATTTAATTTAAAAGTCGTGTGGTAGGGTGAAGCTGCACTGTGAAAGGATCCAGGGCATCGAGCGAAATCAACTGTTTTGAGATAGTTTCGTTTTTGTTTTTATTTTTGTTTTTATTTTTAGTAATTGGAGTTCGGATTTATGGCTTCAGAGGTGTAAGCTTCTACCAAGTCAACAAATTGGAAGTTTCATCTTCATGTTTCTTTTGTCGAGATTTCGTTTTTTTGTTGTTTAGAAGCTTGCACGTACTTGACAAAGATCCCAGCAACCCTAGTTGAGTGCTTAGCGAATCTGGATATGGATCGCTAGCACAGCTTCAACTGAAATCTGGAGTTTAAGCATGGACACAATATGATTCCATCTCTTCGTACTGAACGACAGTGCTGTGAATGAGCACCTAGCTTAATCACAGCTTAGTCACAGGTTATATGATCTTAGTGGACAGACTGTTCTTGATTATAAGTTGGATCTACGCATCCTCGATCATTGATTATTTCGTTACTGAGGAATAACTTCTCTTCTCCAAGAGGGGCTCGAGGAGCTAGCTACATGTGAAATCGGGCAGGAGTATTGAAGCTGTGGGAAGAAAGAATAGGTGTCGACCATGGTGAAGAGGGTAGTCGACAATGTTCTTGGAGTGGCAAAAGAGTAAGTTATTCTCATCTTTCACTTTGCTATGAAGTTTTAGGACAAAGTAGTCGTCATTGAGGGTGCTTAACTCTGCATAGACGATCTCTCAGTTTTCTCACTGTGCTTCAGACTTCGTACAGAACAGATTTTCAATGTGTTGACTGAACTTTCTGAGTGCAGGTCTATAAAAACTGTCAGTCAGGAGTCCTTCAATCAAACGGTGAGGCTGATCAATGGTTTCTCGGCATTAATTCTTGCAGTCCTTCCAGTCCAGTCCAGTGTGGAGGGTATTCATGGATGGGAGCTTCGTTCATCATTACGAGCACCTCGTTTACCAGGCTGGATGGAAAAGTGAGCTCTCTTATCTTGTCTTTGCAACCTTATTGATCTCCTTGACGCTTCCTGAAGTCTACATGACAGCGAAAACAAGAGACTAGACAAGAATGCAGTGAACGCCAAGTTGTTAAAAAAGCAGTAAACGAAGACAGATGAGGGGAAGAGAAAAGTGAAGGTGCAGATAAAATGAAGTTTAGGCACGGAAGAGATTCTGTTTATGCTACTACTCCTATTCAACTTCTAAATATCGATTGATAATCGGGGACATTTCCAAAGTGGGGCACTAATTCATTTCTTGTTGTTTCGCAGTGGAGTATCTTCATTTAATTCGTTTATACATGACTATGAATCTGAGTACAGCGATTTAGACTATGAAACTGAATATGAATCAGGCTGGGATGATGATAGTTTGGCACCCTCATCCCCTTGCTCAGTTACCTCTCATATATCTAGAGCCAGCAGAGCGAGCAGAGCGAGCAGAGCTAGCAGAGCTAGCAGCTGTGGTAGACATCGTCGGCATAGTTCTCTTTGGAAACGTTTTCTCCGAGTTTGCTTTTGGCCTTTCCTTATCTGGTATTTAAATTCTGGATCCTTTTTGTTTTAAAACTCTTGAAAATTTTCACATTGCTGTCCTCCATATGTATAAATCACACAAATGAGCCTGACTATCAGGACTACTCTACTTCTATGAATGGCATGATGTGCAACTCACGCAACACTAATCAAGAGCACATTTGGTCAATATTTTACCGTTTGTTCTCTTCTAAGTTTTCTCTCTGTGTGTATTATCTGGTAGGGGCTCGGAAGCAAGCTGTGTTCCTACACCGAGAGGCGTCAGAGAATTGCATGGTCATGGATTTGCAAATGGGCGTAACTTGAGTACTGGGAGTCTACATCGGTTGCCGAAGCTGATTAGCGACCGCAGGAAGGGTGTCATTGAGGTTTGAACTGTTTTTCTTACAGATGCTGGGATTGGATGAGACAGTTCCAGTTCTTACAGAAGTCACGGAAGTTAATATTGTTTGAGAATAAAATAGCGATGTTCGTTGATGGCTGTGTTCCTGTGGATATATCTGTTCTTTTCCAAAAATATATTTTAACTTAGCACGCAGTTCGTTGATCTCACTATTTTTTTTCCAAAGAAAATTTCATGTTCTGTTTGCTTAGATTTTGAAGTTTCTTTGGCATCACCGAAATCTGTGATTGTCCTAAATAATTTGACATATCCTCCTTCATGGAGTTGAACCATTGTCTCACAAATCACAAACCTTATTAAGGTAGACTGTTGGTCAATTTCCAGGACTTACAGGTTTGGGTGGAGTTATCTATTGAGTGGATGTTTGAGGTTATACGAATCCTCATATACTACTCATTGTCGCCCTTCAAAACCCTGAAGCTCTTCATCAGCTGGCTCTTCTTCCGCAATTCCAATTCTGGTCCTGACAATCGTGTAAATACAGCTATATTGTGTGACTCGAATCCAGCCCCTCAGAAGAAAGTCAAAAAACAGCAAATATTGAATACGGATGAGCGGACTTGTGAAGATGTAATTACTAGTCTGGGGTCAGTGGATCTCATCATTGAGCACTGCAACACTTTGCTTTAAATGAACGCTTCGTGTAATTTACGAATATCACGAAAGTTTTATTATATAGTGATTTGTGGAATTCCGAATCCCACAGGTATCCATATGAATCCATGCGGGTGACCACTGAAGACGGTCATATAATTCTTCTCGAGAGGATTCCAAGGTGCGTTTTATCTATTGAAGATTTGACGAATTGCGGTGTTACTTGCACTGGTATTTGTTCATTTATTTATTGATTTAATTGTTTTATTTTGAGTGGATATATCATGCTTAAGCTTTTGAGAGCATTTGACTAAATTTGTTGTTGACGACATAATTAGATAGTAACATACGTCACTCTAGCTCACGAAAATTTGTTCTCTTGGTCATGATGTGACAACGGGTTTGATCATGGTTGTACAGGCCAAATTCTCAGAAAGTACTATATCTGCAACATGGCTTACTGGATTCATCTTTGGGGTAAGTAATCGAGTGATAAGTTTTGCGTAATTACTATGCATCAATATTTGATTGTACATGAGATTATTCGTTCAGTTGTCCACAACGTGAAGTATTGTGTGTATATTTCATGTTCAATAATAGGCAAGCATTTCCGAGGTCAAACATGTGTGCTCCTCCTTGAAGCTAAGGACAAATATTCCTAATGAACATTACAAATCCTCTCAGGATGTAGGTTTTGAGGTTGGAACTGGCTATGGAAATCACTGTGTTTTCAGATTTTGTTCTGACGACTCCATCATGGCATCTTTATATTAGGTGGGTGTCAAATGGAGTTGTAGGCTCACAGGCTTTTGCAGCATTTGATCAAGGTACATCTTTTGAATTTAAACCATCACTAGTTTATGGGTTCTGTGATTGTCTATTTCTTATGCTAAGAGTCTTGAACCGTTACAGTCCAATCCGAAGTGGTAAGCTTTGTCAGGTCTCAAATGGAGAATGCTTCCACTCAGAAAACAGTACTTTCTGTGAAGTTTTCTATGCGACGCTTGAGGAAGTTTGTAAATCACACATTGCTATGGATGATGACACATGATGGTCTGCAGTTTTTCTTTTGTCACTACCGTCAAATTTGTTTGTTTATTTTTTCATTGGATTATCTGTGCAGGCTATGATGTATTTTTAGGTAATTTTCGGGGTTTAGCATCTCGAGAACATGCGAATCCAAACATCTCTGCACGAAGGTAACTCTTTCTTGATATGAGACATTGATATTCACTGCTTGCGAGACCATAGGCATGTCTCTGTGCTGCAGTCACTTTTGTCTCAATCATCCTATTTGCTTCCTGCAACAGGTACTGGCAGTACTCAGTGAATGAGCATGCCACGCAGGATATCGCAGCAATGCTGACAAGGATCCACAAAATTAAGATGGAAGATTTGAAGGATATTATAGATGACGTGAGCCTTTCCAATCCAGTGAATTGTGCAGGCGAGCGACTGCCTTATTCATTGTGTGGTGTGGCACACAGCTTGGGAGGGGCTTCAATCATGATGTATGTTGTGACGCGCAGACTTGAGGAGAAACCCCACTATCTTTCTAGACTTATCCTTCTTTCTCCAGCAGGCTTTCATGAAGATGCACCATTCTTTTGTACCATTATGAAGTATGCGATGCCTGTGGTAGCTCCGATACTGAGACCTGTCATTCCAGGCTTGTATATACCGACGAGATTTTTTCGAGGACTATTCAACAAGCTGGCGCGTGACTTCCAGAATTATCCTGCAGTGGGTGGCCTAGTTCAGACCCTCCTCAGCTCTGCAATCGGTGGTGATAGCTCCAACTGGGTTGGCGCACTGGGGATGTCTCATTACAACATGAACGACATGCCTGGTTTATCATTCATGGTGGGGCAGCACTTGGCTCAGATGATGCTGAAAAAAAGGTTTACCATGTTTGACTTTGGAAGTACAAAAGCAAATATCGAAGCTTACGGAACAAGTGAACCTCTCGATATTGGCGCCCACTACGGAGTTATTGATATTCCCGTGGATGTTGTAGCTGGAAGAAGAGATAAACTTATTCCTCGTTCCATGGTCAAGCGGCACTACAAAACACTGAAAGATGCTGGTTGCAAGGCTTCGTATGATGAGTTTGAGTATGCCCATCTGGATTTTACTTTCTCACATAAAGAAGAGTTGCAAGCTTACGTAATGTCTCGTCTCTTGCTGCTAACTCCCCCTCGGTTGAAGTCTGGGGACCTTAGAAAAACATCCAGTAACAAAATGCGAGGTTCGAACAAGTCATACTCCAAGAAATCCTTCAGAAATCCAAGAAAGGTGGGTGATTCTGATGGAATTCCAAGAGAGGAAGTTGGTAGGGCCTCCGAAATGGACTTCGGGAAGGACTGCACGAGCACTTCCGGTGGTCTCGACACCGACTTGCCGGAATATATACAATCTCAGTCGGAGCTTGAGAGTCTTCTCAACCGCGACAAGGAGATTCTCAGTAGCGTAACTGCAGGTTCCGTGGCTACGGAATCCCACGAAGAAAGCATCACGGCAGCTCAGCCTTTCGTACCCGAATCCTTCGATGATTCTAGTCTTTTTGCATTTCCCTCAAAAGAAGTGGTATCTATCATGTCAAGGCGAGTCTCAAGAGCCGGTTTAGGCATGACCGATTTGACCCGAATCGGCGAATTCAACATCCAACAAGGCTTTGATACATGTAGCATTGCTGGGACGTCCTCAATTTCGGCCAAAACGCCTAAGCCAGCAATCACAAAGGAGTCTAGCAGTGTTTTCAGCAGGCTCACAGATCAGCTTTTCAGAAGGAGCGCTGCAAACACTACTCGCGATGTATCAAGCAGTCGTCAAACCGCCACAACCTCGCAATTACCGTTGTCACGGTGGACATGAAGCTGCAATGCCAAACGGGCACTGCAATATGTTCTTCACAAATCTCATTGTATTCTAGATCATGTCACTGAGATCTCAACAACTTATAGAGACCAATGTGTGTATCAAGAGGCTCAGCAAGTTTATTTAAATCAAAATCAACTCAAGTACAATTACGTGCTTCAAACATAGTGAAATGTCTTGCAATATGTTCAAGAATTCATTCATTCATGACAAAATCTCAACATTGAAAAATTTAAAAAAATTTAAAAAACTTAAATTGAAAATTAATCTTACACTAGATCAGTATACCATTCATAGCTCCAAATCAAGACTACATGCAAGGATTCATTCAGTCATGCCAAACTTTACAACCGAAAATAGAACATTTAAAACTGTAAAAGTATAATAATTGACCTTACGCTTGATCCGATTGCCACTCACAGCTCCAAAGAAGGACTACACACAAAAACTCATTCAAATCATGCCCAAATCTGATAATTGAAAGAATTGAAGTGGAGCAGAGTACTTGCAGGCATAAATCTCGACATTAAGAAGTTGGAAGCCAAAAAAAGAAGGCTTTGTCTATGATGCGCTGGCCTTCTGTAACGCCAATCAGAAGAAAGTACTGAAGTTGGTATCTGAACTTCGTCAGATCGGCCCATCCCCATCTGTTGAATGAGCTTCCTTACGCTGCAGGTTCAAGAGGTTTATTGATATGTGGGGAGGCCTTGATGTGAATGCCACTAGTTCTCCAGAGCCTGAAAAAGATATTAAACAAGTGCCCAAAACAGTGAGAATTCGTCATGGGTCGTGAGTCGGTTCATTGTTGGAGGGCCTTGGATTTCCTTCCTTTGATGATCAATCTGTTGTTGGATTAGTGAATAAATCGAGCTGAGATTTCTTTCTTGTGTTTGGTGCCCCGTTTGATTAGCATCTACTTAACAGGCAGAGAGAGGATCATCAGAACAGAGGCTAACAAAAATATGTATATATATATATATATATATATATGTATCTGAGGAAACAAACACAAGATGAACAGACCTTAACGGCAACAGTATATGGACCAATTGTACTCTTTGTCTATGAATGAATGATAGACAACACAAAGATTGAAATCATCCTTCCAACCCCATTTGCTACAAACATTGCTTTGAGGGTGAGTGGCACCAGACATGTTCAAAAGTGAAAATGGAGATTTATCGTGATTTATTGTGTCTAATCAAGAAGAATGTGGTGACAATATGGGTCAATGACAAGACAAGATGAGTTTGTGTTATATTTTGTCATTTTGCTGACATGGACTTATTTAGACATGTTCAAAGGTGAGGTTGGTTTTGCAGCATGATGATGACTTAGAAACCCCACATTTGTATTATTTTAGTGGATTCAAGAGAGGAGGCAATGTGTTGGGATTCAATGAAAAAGATAGAATAGGTATCTTGTTGCTTTAGCAATAAAAAAGCGATGATGAGTGGATTAACTGTCTTTTTTGTGTTAGTGATTATGTAGAGCGGTGACAAGGGAGTGACTCCATTTGTTATGCAAACAACATCCATCGTGTCTTGTAGAGCTAGGTTCCTTCTACTAAAAACAAGGTTCTCATATAGAGATGTTGTATAAGAGATGAATTGGTGCTCATATTCTTGATTTTCTTGGAAAATTGCTTGACTATTGTTGGATGAGATTGTTAAAGACAAGTAAAAAATCTCTAGTAGATGCCAATTGCTATGGAGATGTCAAAGCAGATGTGTGTATGATGATTCAATTTTTTTACCATAGAGTCGTAGTATTTAAGATTACATAGTTTTATATTTATATCAATTATTAATTTCAGTTGTTTCTTCATTGTTGTTATGGTAGTAGTATAGTTTTTTATACCAAAGTATTTTAGGACTTGGAGAGCATAGCTACATTGAGTCATGAAGATACCTCCAAATAATTTTATACATTCCACCTTTAGGTAGAGTGTCATGTCTCTTTTACTCAGTTCCAACAAGTCAAATTTAAATATGAGTTGTTGTTTGAATAAATTTGTCCAATTTTGATTGTTGCCAATGAATAATAAATCATCCATATATAAAATCAATAGTAGTATTTTATATGTTTGTTTAACAATATGTATGTAGTAATTGACCTTTCATTTTAAAAAACCATGTTTGTATAAAAAAGAGTCAATTTTTTTGTATTAATCTTTAGGTGCTTCTTTGAGTCCATAGAAAGTTTTATAAAGCTCGCAAATTAGATGTTCTAGTCTAGTTCTAATAAAACCTTATAGCTATATGATGTGTACATTTTCCTTCAAATTGCCAAGAAAAAACATAGTCTTGATATCCATATTATAAAGTTTTTAGCTTTTTTGTACTGTTAAAGCTATGATCATTCAAATCATGTTCTATTTTATTATTAGAATAAAGGCCTCTTCATAGTCTATTCTAAGTTATTGTTCAAATTTGTAGGCAATTAATCTTATTTTTTTCTTTTATAGGATATCAATTGGTTTAAACTTGGCTTTGAATACCCACTTGATAGATATAGATTTTTTATTAGATGGGAGATATGTTAACATTTAGATTTTATTTTCATATATAGAATTCATTTTATTTTCTATAGAGGTTCTCTAGTCTACATCCTTAATAGCTTCGAGATAGGAAGAAAGTTCAACAATGGATAGAATAATAAATTTACAAAAATAAACTTACATCCATTCTAGTGGCTTGATGATACATTTGCTAGAGTGGATCATTAAAAGAAATATTATAGAACTGGTTGGTGAGCATTTGAGTCTTTATGGACTCCATACTTGATCATCAAGGCAGTCAGTAATAGGATTTGGCTCAATAAAAGAAGTAATATTCATGTTATGAGATGGGAAATTATTAATATCATCAAAGTTTGTATGGTAGGACATAAAATTTGATATAGGAATTGATGTAGGTATTTCTTTGGAGATTGATAAAAGACCCAAAGTTGATGTAGATCAAATTAATGAAGTAGAAGTTGAAGGAAGCATAGAAGAGTCTAGGATATATGTACTATCAAGAAATAATATAGTAGTGTTAAAAGAAGGTGGATCTTAAGTTTCACATCTTTATTATTGTTATTGTCACTAAAGATAACTTCTTTTGAGCAAAGTGATTGATGTTCTTTAGTAATAAAGGTTGTCATTGTGAGGTCTAAGTTAAAAAAAAGTATTTCATTAAAGAAGACATCTTGAGTGATTTGGATTTTGTAATAAACAAAAAGGTACACTTTTTCACCTTTAGACTTGTCATTAGTTCTTTAATAAATTCCAAACTTTGATCTTGATTTAAGCTTATGACTTTGTGTATTATCTTTACTTATGAAGCAAAAACATCCAAATACCTTTTGTAGAATAGATATTAATTCGTTTTTGTAAGATATTGGTAAAATAGACTAATAATCCATAGAATAGTCAGTTCAGGAGGATGGATGATGTATTTAATTATTAAAAGTAATTAATTACAAGATTATGATTAAAATCTAGAAATCAGGAGCAATTATATAGGAGTTGTAGAAGTTTGTTGGAGTGCCAGATTGTAATTGTCATGAGCCGGGATAAGCTTGGTGCTACCTCTTTGTCTCTTTGTTTTTTTTCTTTGTTGTTAAAAAGTAATGGATAGTTTCTGAATACTAAGAAGTGAGTCTGTGGAATAAATCAGAGATTGATTTATGAATTATTGATTATGTAATTGGAGTATTGAGTGATTGAATTATATTAGGAGTTATTAGAAGATTATGATTATTGTTTATTGAGAGCTGCGTGTGTTTTGGACAAAGGGAGTTGGTGATTACAGAAATTCTGTGAATTCAGATTGGTTGGAGTGAAGTCTGTCATTTCTGGTATTGGATGGAAATTATGTGTTTTGAGCGGTCTTTTGAGAGTGCAAGGTTGCACACTGTTGTTATCAATTGATAAAGGAGTATTGTTACTGGAAGAAAGCATTGTAGTATTTCTTAGTATTTTAGTGGTTTGGAATATAGTTAATTGTAAGACCCTAACAAGTAAAACTCATGTACTTATTCTTATCTTATATTTGAATTTCCCTATATAGGTTTATTCTAAAAAGAATTGTAGAATAAGTAAAACAACAATCACATTTTGGTGCCACTGCTAGGAATAGACAATAGCATTGAGTGTTAGGAATTAACTGCTGATTTAGTTAGATGGGAGATAGGAAATAAATTTAATAGAATATAATGAAAGAATATGATTATTAAAAATGAGAACTTAATAATAAAGAGAATACGACAGTCGAAAGAAAGAATAGAGAGATCACAAGTAAGAAATTTGTTATATAACGAGCAAGAATGGAAGTTAAAAAGGAATCATCGACAAAGTTGAATTAAACCATGATTGCATGCATGTCGGCATATCCGAGTATACCCAGAAGTTGATCGACATCAAATATTTCAGTAATATATATCATTAGAGAAATTGCCAAGAGCACTCGCGAAAAATTTGGTCAATAGACCAGTATATTTCTTGAGGCCAATAACTGCAAGTGGAGGAATCACATAAGAATTGGGTATTCTATTGGATACATTTCCAATAATAGAAGCTTCTAATTCCATCAAAATTGGTTCCATAGAGTGGCATAAATTACTGGTCAATAAGGACCAATTCATTGTATTTTAAAATCATTCGTTTTCATCCTCAATTCAATTGACTAATTTAGTAAGGAACAATAATAGAAAATTAAGGAAACTTGAAAATTCAGAACAATCAATTGGAAAAGGTGCCAGTTGTTTTGACAAAAGATTAAGTAGAACATTATTTTCTTCAATGGCAACGGGTGATCCAACGGTTCCAATAGCAGTGCAAATGGGTGATGTGAGCAATCGCACAACGAGTGTGGTTCCATTACCTACTTTTAGGAGTTTTTTGGGTGCGGATTGTAATCAACATTTGTCTCAGTTTCTCACAGCATGTGTAGCCAATAATAGAAGAACTGAAGATATTTGGTTACGATGGTTGCCAGCAATCTTGAAAGACACGGTGCAACCGTCAACCAGTGGATCAATTTTCTAATTGGGAAGTATTGAAGAATACATTTTTAATCTATTTTTGCTCAATTGGTTTTGAGGATCGACTTCAAGAAAGATTAAGGACTAGCAAAATGGGTTCAGAAGAGGCAGTGGAATCATACTATGGTCATGTAGCAGA